GTGCTCAGCCTCATAGGCAAGAACTTATTCAGGATCTCTTCAAAAGCTGGCAGGACCCTCAACAGGGAACAGTTGCTGGAGGCATGATCAGGTTTTTTTTTTTTTTTTTTTTTTTTTTTGGATTGGCAAACAACAATTTTTAATTTCAAGTACAAGGGGAACTTCAATCCGTTACATCCCCAATGAATTCCCAATTCTCACATGAATACAATGCATACTGCATAGCTCGTGACCACAAACTAAGAAAATAAATTACTCAACACTGTGTATAGCTTTCCTTCAGGCCAGTTTTTTGCTGTAAGTCAATGGAAAGATCTTAATTATCAATTTCAGAATCTTCTCCTGATTCTTAAGCTCTCCTTTAAGAACACATTAATTCCTCCAAAACCAAATGGCCCAACTTGCAGTGACCCATATCACGAACCAGGCTTCTACCTCACTGCCTCTACAAATTAAATCGCAATACTGCTCCAAATGGTTCATGCCTCCAGTGCATGTCACAGATTGAATGCCCCACCAATTGTAGCAAGCTGCCCATAATTTCCATGGGTTTAAGCACAAGAACAGTAGGTGATTCACATCTTCCTTATGATCACTACACAACACACACTGGATGTTATATTCTGCATTACCAATTACACCTATAATTCTTAAGTTTATTTTTGCTAGGATCCTTTCTTAAAGAGCCTTCCACACAAATGCTGACACTTTCAAAGGAACCTTCTTATTCCATAGTAACTTGTAGGCAGCCTTGTTTTGGTGTGTCTGGTCTTCCATCAAAACTCTGTATGCTGACTGAGCTGAATGTTCTCCTTTGATGTCCCATTTCCAACTTCAAGAGTCTTCCTGCTCATGCTTTAGCTGTACCATCTCCAATTCCACACATAATTCCAGTGAAACTGTTTTTTTCCAAGTAAAAAGTTCACTTCTCCAACTCCACTGCCATTCCCAGACTCCCTGAGTCAGACACCAGACATTCCTTTTTGCTTGCTAAATAGAATAGCCTAGGTACCCTCTCCTTAATTGAATTCTCCCCTAACCATTTTTCAGTCCAAAACTGTGTGACATTACCCTCCCCTACATTTTTGACTAACCCCTTCCTCAGCCATCCCTCTCTAAATCTTCCACCTAAGTCTAAACTCCATAAATCTTTCCACCAAATAGAATCCCTCGATCTAAACCACTCCTCCAATCTATCCTCCACCCTCCTAACACCAAATAGTTCAACCAAGACCCTTCTCCAAAGAGCTCTCTTCTCATTCAGCATTCCCCATCTCCACTTCCCAAGTAGTGGTTGCTCATTTAAGGTTCTGTTTGCATGACTTGAGTTCGGTTGTTAACCAGTTGGCATGCTAGTTAAAGTCCTTCAGTATTATTTGATTATTGATCGTGGAAATCACCTTTAGCATGGTCAGAAATGATCATTGTTTCTAGTAAATTTTTGGTCTATTTATAGTACTTTTTGATATTGCATTGCCTCTTTTCCTTGAGTTCAGAACTTGACTATGTTTATTTTTTTTAGGACTCCGTTACCAAGAGAATGAAGAGATATCAAATTTCAAAAGATTATACTCTAAAAATTATCACACTTGAAAACCTGCATTTTTTTTAAGTTTCTGTGTTCATTTATCAATATAAGCAAATGTCTGTTGCTGGGCTTCGGTGACCCCTAACTAGAAAGTGAAAGATGGAACTGCAAATTGTTATATGTTTTTGGTTGATTAGCTGAAAGCTGATATAAGTCTATCAAACTTATGATTCATCAGGGAGCTCTTACTTTCATTTAAGAAGGCTACCGGACAAAAACCACTAAGGATAATCTTTTACAGGTATTCTTTGATAATTAATTGTCAACTGGTTTATTAGCTTTTTTAATCTTTATTTCTTTTAAATGAGACTTCAAAGGAAATAAAAATTGCATGCTTAAATATTTTCTAGTTGTTTAAAGTTTTGTGATATCATCTATTACTCTTTGTAGAGATGGGGTCAGTGAGGGCCAATTCTATCAGGTTCTATTATATGAACTCGATGCCATTCGTAAGGTAGGTTGCCTTCTCACATTCTTGATTTACCGGGTTCCACCTTGCTAATGCTCTGCTAGTTGCAGGCTTGTGCATCACTAGAACCTGGTTATCAACCTCCAGTAACATTTATTGTGGTTCAAAAGAGGCACCACACTAGGCTATTTCCAAGCAATCACAATGACAGAAGCAGCATCGACAAGAGTGGGAATATTTTACCTGGTATAGAATGTAGCTTCTTCTTGTTACTGCTCAGATTTGTGCTTATGATTACTCACAGAAAGATAACCAACTCCATCTTCAGCAACCTCAAGATTTTAAATATTTGATGTTCTTAACTGCAGGTACCGTGGTGGACTCTAAGATCTGTCATCCTACCGAGTTTGACTTCTTTTTATGCAGTCATGCAGGAATCCAGGTATGGGATCCAAAAGTACTAGAGAATTAGTTCAAAATCTTTGCAAGATGTAAACCTATATAATCTATTACATGAATGCCATGGATAGCAAGCATTTATTTACATTCAAAATGGGATTTGACAGGGGACTAGTCGACCTGCTCATTATCATATTCTCTGGGATGAAAATAATTTCAGTGCTGATGAGATACAATCTCTGACAAACAACCTCTGCTACACGTAAGAAGTCTCTAGTTCCTATGTTGCTATTACATTAGCCCTAAATGTACAGTACTAATAGATTATTTGATTGCAGGTATGCTCGGTGTACGCGATCAGTTTCAGTAGGTAAACATTATGATCCATCACCACTGGGATATTTTTGCTTAGAATTGTGATTATGTTGTGCAAGAAATGGTGAAATTATCCATATTGGCATCTGAGTATCAAGTAACATATCTTTTTCCTTTACATTTGTAGTGCCCCCGGCTTATTATGCTCATCTAGCAGCCTACCGAGCACGATTCTACATCGAACCTGAAGCCTCAGAAAATGCTAAAGCACGATGCACACGCACAACCAGTGGATCCTGTGTCCGCCCTCTACCGGCGTTAAAAGAGAGGGTGAAGAGTGTGATGTTCTACTGTTAGCGGGGAGATCAATTAGCAAATGGTGCAGTGTCTAAAGCAAAGTGAAAGACCAAAATCTGTACAGTACATGCATGTAGTTTTCGTCCGTAGAAAGGTTATGCACTGAAAATTTTGAAAGTGCAACCAAACAGCGTTTCCCCACTGACTGTAACTCTTAACAGAAGGCTAACAAAAGTAGAGTCCCATTTGTATCTTAGACTTTACCTTTTGGCTAGGATTAACTATTTAGGAAACACAGGACTTTCTTAGCTCTCAATCTTTTTAAGAATTCAAACTTAAGAACTTTCAAAACTTCCATCGTTCTCCTAAAGATTTGTCAAGATAATTTTCCCTCGGTAATCAGTATGAACTTGAATATTTAACATTAAATCCAGCAGACAAATTTGACGTGCGGTGTCCTGTTTCTTCTATATCTCAACCCAAAAAATGTGGAATAATTTTTGCAGTATGGCATGAAAGTGACTGAATCTTCAACTGCCTAGAAATTGTAGAGATTTAAATTAAGAGGTAGGGCCCTTTTCTTGAAATTGTCTGATGATTGTTAAGGAGCTGCTATCAATCACCCATATGTACACCCTTAAAATTTCAACATTTTTGCCTTCCTTTGATGGGATTGATTGATCCCTTCTGGTCAATGCAATATCAAAATTCTACACTTCATTTTTCCCACGTTCAACTTTAAAGCAACATGGAAACTGGACCTAATTTTATTTTTTTGGGTGAATCTCATCGGTAGTCACCAAACTTTTCCAAAATCAACACTTTGGTGATTCAATTTATAACTCTAACAAAATTGTCACTATGTTTGTTAAAATGAACATTTTTGGTCACCCAACTTAAATCCAAACAAAATTGTCACTTAACTTTTTAAATGGTTCATCCATTAGTGACCCATCATTTAAACTAACTAAAATGTCAAACATTATTTAAAAATCTTGGTGAAGAAAGTGAAAGCCTTGTTATAAAATGGCAATTGCTATTGGCTAAGCCTTCTCTTTCAAAGAATTAGTTGCTTACAATTTCATCATTATAATTAGATGAAAAGAGTTGCGAGATAGCAATTTTGCAAGCAATTTGATTCAAAAGTTAGTAATGAGGCAAACTCTTAGACTCTTGTTTCATACATTGGAAATAACACTTTGTAACTCTAAGAGTATGTATAATGAGAGTTTTCTCCCATTATTTTTTTAAAAAATAGAACAGAGATAAAACTTTAATCCAGTGTAGCATGTTCTAAAAGAGAACTTTGTTCTCTACAAAGAACTTATACTCTTCCCTTGTTTTTCATTTTAAAATTGTTTCTTAAAATTTGCATGTGCAATCATGTGGTGCATTGCTCTCCTTCTATGTTATTGGATTATTTTGATCCAATGGTTGGCATTTTTTTTTAAAAAAGTGTTTTTTAATTCAAATTTTTTAAAATAAAATAATATTGGTATAATTGTTGAGAAAGTTCTATTTAGATATATGGAGTAAAGAATAGATATTTTATTTGAAGGTTAAATATTTAAAATATAAATTTATATAAAATAAAAATAATTGTAATGTTGTGGCACCAAAATGAGCTTTTTCATTTGTCCCCATTATACACACTTTAATGATAAATGATAAAAAAATGAAATACATTAAAATCCAAATTTGGTTCCAAGAAATAACTTTTAGATTAAGATGTTTAACAACTTCATTACAAAGATAATCACCTAGATTTTTAAAGCAGCGTTTTTCATTTCCATTATTCTCAATGACAAGTGATTAATAGATGGACAATTTAGAAAGCTGGATGATAAATGTTAGGGTTGAAAGTTAGATAACTAAAATGATAATTTTGACAAAGTTGAGTGACTACCTATGAGATTCACTTTTTTTAATCTCTTTTCTTGATTTGTCTTGAATTATTGCTTGATTTGGTAGCAAGTTATTTCTCTTTCAATTGAAAAATACAATCCGAAATAAGACTTTAAACAACTTCGTTACAAAGATAATTACCTAAATGGATCGATCCTTTTGATTTAATAGTTCATCTACAAATTTTAATATTTTGATTAGTTAATTGGTTGGAATTTTAAGTCCATCAACTACTTAAAAATTTTTCCTATCCTCCATATTTCCCCTTTTCCCTGTTCAGAAAAAAAAGAAAAAAGAAAAAAAGATAATTACCTAGATTTTTAAAGTAGTGTTTTACATTTCCATTATTCTCAATGACAAGTGATTAATGGATGGACAATTTAGGAAGTTGAATGATAAATGTTAGGGTTGAAAGTTAGGTAACTAAAATAATGATTTTGACAAAATTGAGTGACTACCTATAAGATTCGCTTTTTTTTTTTTTTTAAGTAATCCCTTTTCTCGATTTCTCTTCAATTATTGCTTGATTTGATAACAAGCTATTTCTCTTTCGATTGAAAATTACAATCCGAATTCCCATTTAAGAAATAAGTGTTGTTAATCATGCCTTAGCCTCCTAAGGCAGAGGTTTTGAAATCCTGGACTTTGACTTTGAAGTTAAAGTTTTACTATATGCTACTTCGATAATTTCACACTAATTGTAATTTCGTTTAGTAATTTATTTGTATTGCGAGTCTAATTGTAATTTAGTCCACAAGTACATATATTAGATGTGCTAAATTATCCATAAAAAAGTGTTCTTATTCTAATGTACTAAGTAGTAGCCCACGTACAACTAATAGGTGCTTGTTTGATAAAATAAATAACAAGTGCTTGTTTGGTTTGATTTCAAAAACAAATTCTATAATATTGAAATAAGTAGGATAACTTCTTTCCGGATAAAAAACTTTTTTGATATTGAAACTAAAAGCTACGTTAAATACAATTTTTTTTAGCTTTTCATAAGCATTTGGTTGATTTAGGTTGTGAAACTTTTAGAAGTGGTTATAATCACCTACTATTTTTTTTTATTAGAGATCCTCAAGTTTATTTGATTTAACTTTTAAAAATAGTTGATGACTAATAAATATCTAATATTTATTATTTAACAAACTAAAATTAGTTTATAAATTTATATTTTTAGATATTATATATAATTAAATGTTTAAAAAATAAAAATTAGTAAAATATTAATAAACTAAATAATTTTTTAATATTCTTAACAAAATAATAAGTGGTAATAATCACATCTAAAACCTCTTTACAATAAAAATTGAAGACAGACCAAACATCATCTTTTTCAAAAGAGAAGGCTGGCTGAAACTTGGTGAATGAAGATTCCAAACAAGTACTTCTATAAATGTTTCAACTGAGTTTGTTTGTTTGGTTTTTTTTTTTTTTTCCTTTTTTTTTGTTTTTTTTGTTTTTTGAATAGGGCAATTTGAGAGAAAGGGGAATGGGAGGCCTCCAAGACATGACACACAAGAGATCATCTCCACTTAACCAAGGATGTTGGCCAGTAGGCTGGAACATGAAGATCAAATGTTTCAATTGAGTTGGGTAAACTTTGGCATGGTCAATGACACATTAGTCTAATAATTAAGGATATGTTAACGTTTTAAGAAGTATTGAGTTAAAATCTCTTTTGTTAAATATCTGATAAAAAATAAATAACTTTAATATGTTAGGTTAAAATTCCATTTGGGTCTCAAAATTATTGTACGGACCCTCGATTTACTTCCTAAACTTAGAAAATCCCTAATTTGATCCTTACTATTTAATATTTTGACCTCAATTTGGTTCTTTCATTAATTTTTTCACATTAATTGATGAAAGAAATGTTACATGGCAAAATTAAATGACATGGCAATTTCCAACTCATCCCACTCAAAAAATTCCCTTTTTTTAGCCTTTTTTTTTTCATTCCTCTCTTTCCTCTTTCCTTTTTTCTTTCCTCTTCCCTTTCTTCAACTTCTACAATCCCTAACATCTCAACCAATTTATTCATCAACCCTTTCTCTTTCCTTTACCATTGTTGGGTTCGATCGAACCCAACGGATTTGTTGGGTATCGAACCCAACAGATTCACTTGGTTCCATACCTAGTAGATCCGCTAAGTTTGAGAACCTAGCAAAACTGTTTGGTTCAATCAAATCCAGTAGATTCGTTAGGTTCGAGAACCTAGTAGATCTACTGGGTTTTTTTGAACTTAGCAATTGCTGGGTTTTGAACCCTAGCAGCTCCATTGGGTTCTTTCAAACCCAACAAGCCTCGGATGAGGCAATTTTGTTTGATGATGATGAAGAATTAATTGATCTCATTAAATTGATTGTTTGATTTAAAATGAATGAAAAAGATTTGAGAGGGAGGATGCTAAGGAAAATGATGAGGGCAAAATTGTAAATTTGATTGATTGAATAATTATATTTGTTTGATTAGGTGGCAAAGGTTTTTAATTAGCCACGTCATTTATTTATCTTGTTGTCAATTTTATGTCTTAATATTTGGACTTGTCATTTTTTTTCCATCAATTAACAATCCACCTCAGCAAAAATTTAACGAAAGGATCAAATTGAGGCAAAAATGGTAAACAGTAGAGATCAAATCAGAAGTTTTTTAAGTTTAGGGACCAAATAGCAATCTGTACAATAGTTTAGGAACCAAAATGAAGTTTTAACCAATATATTATTGTGGAGGTGACATGTACTGTACATACTAGAAAACAATGCTTAAATTGATTGGAAAATTGAACCCCGGCCCCACCTCAAGATCTAATGGTGTGTCTCAAAATCTTAATATTTGGGTAGAATTAGTTGAAAATTCAAGTTCTATTGATTATTTGAATATTTGTGTTAGACCTATAAGTTATTGGTGCTTTTCCCAACCTATGAGTTGAATCCATTCTCTTCTTTTGTAATTATACTTTTGTTTAAAAAAATATATTTTGATTAGGAAATCACTCAAATGAAAGATTATTCCATGGAAAAGTCAAAAGTGTATGACAAAGACACTCAACTTGTATGCAATTTGCGATCAAGTTCACCGTTTATAGTCAGGAAAAAATAATTATTTTTTAAAAAAGGGGAAAAGATGACTTCCTTAAGAGTGCCAACTGCAAGCCGATGGTCTAAATTAGACAGGCAGAGGAAGAGAGTGAGGGGGAGAGGGGCATTCCTCGCGCTTCGCTTTTGCTTCTATATAACAGGCTTTTGCTATTTGAAAAAAAAAAAAAAAAATCGATTACTTCGAGTTTCAGTCAAAAGATGATGATCTTACCACGAAGCAAAGCACGACGGCTCAAGTTTTTATTCTTAGTCTCTTCATTTTCCACATCTAGATCTAGAAAAGGAATCAATATTTACTATCTTTGCAAGTGAGGGGATATGGGTTCATTGGTCGAATTTGGCTGTTAAAGAAAAATCACAAAAACACTAATGAATCGAAAGGAGAACTCAAAGATCAACCAATCGTTCTCTCATATATTTATCTCTTCTTTTCT